TGATGTATTTTGTTAGTCACATCCTTTTTGAAAATTGGAGATCAATGAACTATACCTAAGAGTTTTGCATTTTTATCATTTTGTTGTTTTTCAGGGGGGGTGTCTCTTTGTACTTATAATTTACTCATTTGCTATTGATTATTAATAGCCCATGTCCTTTTCAGTTCATCCTTTTCTGCAGTCCAGCTAATTTCTTCCAGCATGCCCTGTGGATCAGGATTACAGATCATAAATTACTTTATTCGGTCTTTATTGTAGATGATTTGTGCTTTTCTTTCAATTTAATAGATAGTTTTCTGGGTACAACAGAATGAACTGGAAGTTCTTTTCTTTTAAACTATAAATTGGATTACAGATTTCTAAGAACTCAAAATGTTAAAGTTTTCCATACAACAATCATGCATTATTTTAATGAGCCTCCAGTTATCTCTTACAGATTTTAATATACTTTCATTATTCTGTGTATTTGGTGATTTACTTATGTCTCATGGTGTTTCTGTACTTATCTTGAAAATATGATACTATTCAGTAGGCCTCTTGTACCTGTATAGGTATCTCATTATTTAGGTTTAAAAGAATTTCTGTTAGTAGTCTCCTTCTTCTATGAACATAATTTGAGTGTTCTTCCCTCCTGTCTTGTTCCAAAGCTCTTTCATGCTCCATTTATATTCCTTTTAAAATTTATCATTGAAGTTTACCCCATAATCTATTTCCTACTGTTTGTCACTTATCCCTGACTTTATATTTTCACCTTGTTCTATTATTTAACGACAATTTTCACTGAAGTTTAAAGGTAGAATATTGTGATTTTTTTTAACCTCCTTTCAGCTTAGATTTTCTTCAGAAATTCCATTTCTTTATTGAATTCTGCTTTCATATTTGGAATTTGATTTCTCATTCTACTCAAACATTTTCTTTTTAACTCATGGAGTATATCTATATATTTATTCCATTTTTCAACATAGCTGAAATCACTACTCTGACTTCTTTGTGTGGAATTTTTCCAGGTTTTTCTCATTGGGAAGTTGGTAATATTGTATTGGTTTTGATTCTGCCTTCAAACTTAAGCATATAGAACATTTTGTAGGATACATTTCTTTTTATTTCCTTTTAAAAAGAATTTATTCTTCACATGAAAGCCTTATAGTACATGTACTATCTCAACAAACACAGGGAAATCAAATCAATTTCCAATTATTTCATTTAATCACAATGATGTAAATTAGTTATCAACAATCACAGAAAATTTAAAAAGTAAACAAACGGAAGAAGAGTGTAGAGCTACTATTATATAATAATTGTGACACTGAAGACATCAATATGAAAAATAATTCTTAGAATCACATTGCGATGAAAACACAGCTTGCCAATATTTTGGAACATAAAGGACGTGCTACAAAAATTATATAATACTATGTGTACATTATATTTTTCAACAATTTAAAACTAATACGTTATGAATGTATCTTATAGCTTCAGGAACAACAATATACCACCTTATCTCAAATTTTACAAGGAGGATCTGCTGTCATTTTTCCCTTTAACTGTTTTGAATATCAAAGAAATTATAAATGTATAACAATAAAGGAAAGAAGGTAAGGGGAAATGTCCCTGTATCAGACACAGTAGTATACTACTCTTTAGACTGGAGAGGGAGGGGGGGAAAGGAGTGGGGGAAGGGGAAGAGGAGTGGGGGGAGGGAGAGGGAAATGGACGGCAGTGAGGAGGCGGAAATTTTTTCAATAAAAAAAATCAGTCAAAAAAATTTTTTAAAAAAAGAGTTAGCCAATAAGAAGTTAGAGCTAATCGGCCAAACAGTGTTTTAATTAGTACAGTTTCTGTGTGATTATTTCAGTTTGGCTGGCTTGACGAACAAGTGGCTTCCTCGACTCCTACAACAACCAACCAATTGAAAATTGGCCATGGAAAACATGAATTCTCAAAGCAAGAAATACACATGGCTACTTTAAACTTAAACAACAACACAGACATAAATGTCAATATACTTAACAATCAGGAAAATATAGGTTAAAATCACTTTAAGATTTGATCTCACCCCCTTTCAGATTTGGTAGGATTAACAATAATTGTCCATGAATGCACCCACATGGATGGATCAAAGCTAAACCATTATACACCGATGGTCCTGTTGTCACCAAGTACAATCACTGTGGGACTTGGTCTGGAGATTTCTCAAAACCTGGAAATAGAAGTACAACAAAACCCAAGCTATGATCATTCCTGAGCATATATTCAAGAGGCGGTAGCCTACAACAGAGACAGATGCACATCCATATTCCTTGTGGTTCCATTCTCAACTAGTAGGAATTCAAATAAGTCAAGATGCTTATCAAACGAAGGGAAAACTACAGCACTTAAAAACATGGAAAATTACTCAGCTGTAAATAGAATGAAACCATAAAATGGCTGGGTAAGTGGAAGAAAATGGGAACAAATCATATTGGGTGAGATCACTCTGACACAAATATATAATCCCCATATATTGTCATACTAATTGAGTCTAGCTTTGAAAATACCATTTCTATAATTAGCCTAGAGAATCAATGGAAGGCAAGATACTCGAAAAAGACCACTGCAGTGATCATTTTGATTTTCCATGAATAAAATAAGTAGGAATATTGAGGTGGCAGACTTGAAGAATAGATAGGGGTGTGGGTATGAGTTCCTAAGACTTCATAACACTTAACAAAAATGAAAGGTATATGAAAAATCTTTAATAAAATCTAAGATCTTCAACCCTATAAAGTATCTCAATTTGAGGAAATAATAGATCAAATTTCTGTGTGCACTTTAAAAGAATTAAAATAGAAAAATTGATATAAAAGATGGTCATCTATATTAGAAGTTGCAAAGAGATGTTGACATACCACTTTGATACACATTTTCTTTATTTTTAATCATTTTCACTCACGTCAATAAAAAATTGACATAGAGAAGTAAACCATGACAAAAAAAAAACACAAAATAACAAAATGAAGCTCACCGAGTATATGTTCCTATGTCACTAGCAAAAGAAAAATATCACTGAGGATAAAATACAGTCAGTTTCGCTTCAGGATTGCCAACCATCTTAAATTAAATTAAATTTAAATTTAATTCTAGCAATTTGGTTTCACAATCCAATCTTAGGAACCCTCATAAAACTCTCCAAAATTTTACTACTGTTGTTACAGTGATGATACTAGCCACACGTACTGATGATGTCATGGAAAATAAAATAGTAATCTTATGATGGGATATATTTACAATCATGACAGACATACTAGATGGTAGTGCTATTTCTAGACACATTGCAACATTCTAGCAAAATTAAAAATAGAAATGTACTATGATATATGTGTGTTCCAAATAATGTTGACACTCTATTGCATCATTGTATTTTTAGTCTTTTTTATAGAGGCTGTGTAACTCCTACATAACACCACATGCCATACCCTGTGTCTGATCATTTCTCAGAGCATGCTACATAGATCAAGGTAATACTAGAAAAATGATTCTCACTGATCCATTAGATGTGTGGGGGAAAAAAAATTTTTCGTTTCAGACAGGAGGGGAATGGAATGAAGAATAAAATGAAGTTTGTAAAAGTTTTTAGATCAAATCCTGGCAAAATTTCTTGATCATGTAAAAATACACATGCAACTCCTAACTCCAAAAGTCTCTGGGACTTCAATTATTACTAAAATCCCTTCATGTGGCATGATTTATTGTATCACACCTATCTCATTAGCCCCACTGATTTTGTTTGTTTTGATTTGCATTTATTATTGATATATACTCTGTATATCTTTGTGTACATACCACCTTATCTCAATTTTTCCAAGAAGTGTCTGCTGTCATTTCTCCCTTTAACTGTTTTAAATATCCAGGAAATTATAAATGTCAATCAATAAAGGATAGAAGGTAAGGGAAAAATGTCCTTCCCTGTATCTGGCACAGTAGTAGACAATTCCAAGAATCTTTGCAAGTGGACAAAATGTTTCTAGAATGTTGCATTCCAGTAGTTCATTAAAAATGCCTATTTTGAGTGATTTTTCCCTCTTTTCCCCCTTGAATGCCCATAATACATGTAATCTTAAATTTTCTTTAAGATACTATACCATGTTAATTGAATCCAACTCTCTTTGACACACAGAGAAAGCCTAGTAAATTAAATCTCTTCATAGAAGTGTTACCCTTCCCTTCAGTTGATTGGAGTTGAGCCTGGGAGGTAGTAGGAAGCTCCTAGCACCTCTTGATCCAAGATTATTGCCCTTTTTCTTATGTGTGCAGATGATGTGCAGGGGTCCTTAGGCAGTCAAATGAGGCAGCAAGATTAGCATGTACACTTATATGTAAATGTCTATCAGTCCTGAAAACTGTTTAAAGCTACTTTCTCCTGACTGAAAATCTACATTCAAATTATAGACTTGATATTTCTCTTAAATAAAGAATTCAGCTTGTAAATTATGTAATATCGTTTTCTTGGTGTTGGCATTTCTATCTTTGTTTGGTTTTCTTGGCTCAACAGAAATTCATGTACTTTAATGTCATGCAATTCACTCTAGTTGATCCCTGTTGTTTGGACATGAATAATGATCTTGCTAGAATTGACAACTTCCAAATAAAGAAAAGCAAATTAAGGCCAAATTGTATACCCCCAATTCAGCTGGACAATCCTACTGATCTTACATCTTTCAAACCACAAGCGCAGAAGCTGAGTGAAGAAACAATAATGTTGAAAATGCACAAAGATATCAGATTGCACAACTTTATTAGATGAAATTTTCATTTTTCAAATGGTCTTAGAGAGAAAGCAAATAGCATCTGAATACATTATCAGTATAGAGAGTAGAGCATAATTTTGGGTGACCCACTGATCTCATAATCAGCTGAAGTTTGGAGAGGAAGCTGTTAAAGGAAGGATGATATGATATCAGCAGGTGTTAGGCAGGGAAGCAAGAGCTTTCGAGCATACTTGAAATAGGAAACATAAAGACTTAGCAGCTGATTCCATAGAGGCCTGATCCACAGATTGGTCTGTAACAAGGTTGATAGGAAAGAGGCACCAAGTAGCTTGGATAGCAATATCTAGATCCAAAACTCAAGGAAGGGAATCCAGAGACTCCACAATTTAGAGATCTGAAGCTACTGGATCCACAGCCCCCTGAGTAGCAGCTTCTAGAACCAAAGCCCAGGGAACGGCAGCTGCTGGATCCAAAGCTCAGAGACCCAGCATATGTTCCCTGGCAAGGACTGCAAGGTGTGGAGCTCCTCGGGTAGTAGCAGGCTGTCTGGCAGGGCTTGGACACAACACAGGCCCTCTGGCAGCTGGTGGGCTCAATGCAGGTCTCCTGACAGCCGGTGTTCACAGAGGATTCCACCAGGCAGGGCCTGGACACCACACAGGACCTCTGGCAGCTGGTTGGCTCAATGCAGGTCTCCTGACATCTGGTGTTCAGAGAAGATTCCACCTGGCAGGGTCTAAGAGAACAACTGGTAGTGGTGTAGACCAGGTTGCTGGGGTAGGAAGAGCCACAGGAGGAACCTGAATATGGCTGGCAACGTCTAAAGGAGCGGGAGGAGAAGTTTCCAGAGCAGCAGCTGTAGGTCATGTTGAGAGGAGATGTGAGCTCAGCTGGATATATCTGAGAGGATTCTGAGTTTGGATGTCACCCTGTGGAGAACTGGGTTTATATACTCTCAGCAACAGGTGTGGTATCCAATTGTCTCATCCTTGATGCATTTGTGTGCTTCCCAGTTTATAAATGTGCAACACTATTCTCTGTAATTGTAGCTCTAATTTGAATAGTTTTCTGCACCGTATATTTATGGGTGTTGTCCTTTTGTTATAGTTAGGACAATGAGCTACTGCTATGTCAGAGATGCCATGAGTGACTCTTTTATACTGATGCTTATTCTATCATGTCTATGAAATACACTGCTCTTCCTCTTGACATAATTTTTATGTTTTTGTCAGATGTTATACAAAATAATTAATATATATGGTATTGGGTGTTCATAACATGCATCTCTCAAGTTAATGAACTGTGTTATTTTGGTCATTGTGTGCAATCTATTAAAGGCTAATTTTACCTGTCACTATTGATGTTCATTTTCCAAAATTATTCCACATAGCTTACAAAGTTTTACCTGTATATTTCACATAAAGACATGTTAGCCATAAAGGCCAAGAAAACCTGAGTAAGATTGAAATAGGTCAGAGCAAGCGCAGGATAATGATAAATGTCATGATTCTAAGAGCCAACATGTAAGAGAATCACAAGTTTAAACCTTTGTGGATTGAATCAAAGTAGAAAAAAAACACTGTAGAATAGAAGAGAGAGAAAATTTTATAGCCATTGTGTGATAGAAGGACTGAAGTATAGTTGATCCCATCTGTGTGGGATATTAGGTCTGAGATAATGGATCTCATCTGTGGGATAGGAGGACTAAGATACTGAATATCATCTGTGTGTAATAGGAGGACCGAGACACTGGATCTCATCTGTGTGTGGCTGAGCAGAGGTTTTTGCTCTAAATCATTGGGTCACAGGGGAATTTATTCACTGTGATTCTTCCTACTTACACATCTGAAATCCAGCTATATTTATGCATGACTGTGTTTTCATGGTCTGTATCATGCAGGGACTAAGCCCAGAAAAGGCAAAGAAATTCCTAGTAGACTGTAATGACCAACCTTTGCATAGGTTTCCCTGTACCCTTAAAGCAAATATCCTGTATCTTGCATATGTCAGAGGGACCATTTATCTTCTCTTGTGCCCTCAGTTTGAGGGAGAAGCTGGTAAAGAAAATTAATCCAAAGGCTCTCAATACCTCAGATTTTGTTTATAATATATTGCAAAGAAAGTCTTCTGATAGTGGAAAGCACAAAATTCAGGCAGATGTATTCTCTTAGAAATGTCAAGTGGGGCTAACCAAGAAAATGGCTGGAATTCTATGATGATTTGCTACCTGATGATGTTGGTTTTGAGCCTGTGTGAAATCTATGTCTAAATCAGGTCTGCCAGGTTCATCTTTGATCTTCTCCTTATTAACTAGGGACATCAAATAACTTCAATTTTATGATTTCATCATTGATATCATTGATTAACACTTGCATATTCTCAACTGAAGTCTCTTCGAATATAATCCCTACTTCATTCCCCATCTTGTTACTTTCAGATCCAGTTATAAGTAATGCGTGCATTCTAATTGAATTCCTCAAGTCCTTTCTCCCTTTTCAATCATTTTGTCACGACCTTTAGTTTTGAAATTCCCAGTACTCATAATTTAGTTCACTGTGTTGTAACTGTGCTTAGGATCCTGATGAAGCCCATCCATATGTTTTTCAAATTAGTTGCTTATTTTTAAAATTTTAGTTAAATTCAATTGAATTATTTTTATTTTTCCCCTCTAATTTCTTAATCATATCTTTTGTTCCCACATGTAATTATTTCTTGAACACAAAATGTTCCTGTTTCGTATTGTCAGATTCTTCACATAGGTGTAGTCCTGTGTTCCTGAAAGACGGGTGTGGGTATTGGAACATGTGTTGCTATCAAGTTTCATAATTTAATGTCAGGGTTATTTAAACAAATTTGGATGCTTTATCACTAGACAACATAATCTGACAGGGTCCCCATCATCCATGCAATGTGCTGCTGACTGAATCAATGCTGTGTGAGCATCTTTTAGCACCTTGCTAGTGCCCCATGAGATGCCTTGAGTACACCCTAAACATGAGCTATCTGGGTACACCCCGAACACTGAGACATCTTGGGTACACCCTGAACAGTGACTACAAAATGTCTATACAATCCTTCTTAAATACCTTTACCTTCATTAAAGTATGCTGAATCCCTGTAAAAGAGCTTATTGGAATTGAGCTCAGGTGTTGACAGCGCATTCAGAGGGCCAGAAGATGATGCTGTGAATCTATGGAACTGTGGTTACAGACAGTTATGAACAATCTTGTGTGTCCGGAGAACTGAACTCTCTCCTTTGGATGAGAAAAAGTGTTCTAAAACATGACCAGTCTCTCTAGCTTTGGAATCCCTGTTTACAATTCACTTTAGAACAAATTAAAGAAAGTAATGATGTTTTAAGATTAACTTTTATTTTAGTTGATGTGTTTATATGTGTGGGCATATGTTCACATGCTTGTGGATGTGGGTAGCCCTCTAGACCAGAAAAGGGTGTTAGATTCCCTGGCGCTAGAGCTATTAGTGGTTGTGAGCTGCCTGACATGGGCGCTGGGAGTCAAACTAGTTCTCTGAATGTCTAACAAGTGCTCCTACCTGATGACCTGTCTATCCAGCCCAAAGTATTTATTAATATATTTATTAGATACCAAGCAGTAAACCTTGGATCTCTTATAAAATTTTTAAAGTGGTATCTTGAGAAAAATGTTAAGAATTTATTAAAGGGAGAAGTGAGCTTCAGAATGACATGTAGGAGTCTTTCTGTCATGAGCAAATTTTGATCACATGGAGTCAGATGTTCTTTGAATTAAAGTGTTCTAATTTAGTGATGAATGATGAAAAAATACATTCTGCAACCCTTAAAAGTGTTACAATAGAATCTCAATACAAGAGATAATAGTTTTGTTTATGGAGAGTCCAATCTAAATCAGCTTTGAAAGCTAGATCCTGGGACTGTGAGTGGCAGATTCATTGACATTTTATATAGGTATATCAGAAGCCATGACATTCTATGTGGATGGGCTTCTTTGGGAATACCTCAAAGATCAAAAGACAAATTTTTATCATCTACTTTAATAGAATACAAAATCAATTATCAGAAGTTCTTGTTGAGCACCCTTCCAAGTCTTACATTTTATGTGAACTATTCTAGTTTCTCTGTTTCTATGGAAAATTAGGTAAAATAACCATAGAGAGCTATACAGATGAAACAATACAATCTCAGGTGAATTTAGTTCAAAGGTAGGGATTTTTTAAAAAATAACTTTAAATATCTCAACTTATGAGGACAAAATTATATATCTGCAGAGACAAAAGTAACAAACTATTCACATTAACTAGTTAACATTGAGGTTACCTGAGAAAGAACTTAACAAATTATTTCTCACCTTATAGAATTACTATTTGTATTTAACCCCTATTTGTTCTCAAGAATAATTAAAGAATTATTTATAAAAAAATGATGAAAGACTAAGTGGAAAAGAATACTTCCATCATTATCTTATTGATAGGCTCTTCAGCCTGAAGCACAAAATAGCAAAATATAAATTTTGTTCTTGAAGAACAGAAATTAAATCTAAAATAGCTATTTTTTATCTTCATATCTTTCCTTCTTAAATTTCATAAAATCTATATTACCATTGCACTATTTTCCATATTACTATACATTTGATCTTTATGAGTATTGAAAATGGATTGTGTTTAATAGAGAAACCTGAAAAATTTGCCATAAACTCTAGTAGTACATCATTATTCTCTCTGAATATTTTTTTCTATATAGTTTAACACAGAATATTCCATCAGTGAGCATAGGAAAAGCTGGTTATACAGTGAGAATTTAATAAGCCTATTAAAGATATTTTCAACTTTAAGTTTATAGTTTACTAGGAAAGAACAAACTAGCAAATAAAAGTAAAAGAAAGCAAAGATGAAAATGGACAGCAAAATAAAATTTAAGCACAGAGCAAACAAAAAGGTAAATAGAGGTAGGAGGGAAGAAAGAACAGATGGGAGAAGAAGAGGAGGAGGAGAAGAAGAAGAAAAGCAAGAGGAGGAAGAGGAGACAACTTTACACATTCATGTACTTCATACTTGGGCAGATAAGTGCTGATAGATACAAAGATATAGCCCTAAAAATGTTCACAGGATATCCAAATACCATGAGAAATGGCAGCATACTGCAAAGGCTAGAAATCTCAATGATTATGAATTAAGGTAATGGAAAAAGAATATGAAAATTTGAGCATGCTGAATTAAAAGAAAAGATTATTCAGGCATTGAAAGTAGACAGATCACAGAGTAAAAGTGCAGTAAACAAGATCGCGTATACGTCAGTCTCATCACTGAGGAAGAAAGGGCAGTGGGGAGATCACACATTTCAACATAGCCTTAAAATATTCCAAAGTCAAGCTTTTAAAAATACAAACAAAACAACAAAAACAAATAGCTCAATGGCAAGATTGTGAGGTCCCTCCCTGTTCCTTCGTTTTTATTTTTATTTTTTTTGAAGATTTTAAATTTCCTTTATTGTTTTCTAATTATAGACTTAAAAGGTGTTTTTCTTTTATTTATTTAATTATTTAAGATTTCTGCCTCCTCCCCACCACCGCCTCCCATTTCCCTCCCCCTCCCCTGATCAAGTCCCCCTCCCTCATCAGCCCGAAGAGCAATCAGGGTTCCCTGACCAGTGGGATTATTTCCTCCCTTCATTGAACAAATGGAGATCTTTCAGGTGAGACACTATTCAACAATTTCGTTGTAAATAAGCCATACCCACCCCCAGTCTCTTGCTGCCCTTCTGAGTATGCTGCTTTTGTCTATTTTGAATGGGTGTCTATTCAATTTGTTACACACTGTGTAACTGTATTCCATGGTATAATTGTGTTGTGTTACCCCACACACTGAATTACAATATGGAAGTTTGACAGGATGGCAATAGAGGTTGATAAGATGGAACATTCTTGTAAATGTTCTCATTCATATAGAAACAGATCCAGTATCCAGATAACTAACATCATCTCCTTTTCCAGCTTTAGGGAAAAAGCATTCACTAGCAGAAGCAAGAATATACCACCAATTAAGAGAAGGTAGCCCATAGTGGAGGAATGGGAAAGGCTGCTATAGCTATGATGGGGCAGGCATTAATATAAAATAGTCATAGCATTTTGTAGATAGGAGGATCTCTTTGACCTTTGTTACAACACTCATAAATATACTGTCCTGAAAACTATTCAAACACAACTACAATTACAGAGATTACTATTCCACATTTTAAAACCAGGAAACACATAGATGCATCAAGGATGAGACTGTTGGGTACCACACCTGTTGCTGAGAGTATATAAACCCAGCTCTCCACAGGGTGACATTCAAACTCAGAATCCTCTCAGTTGCATCCAGCTGAGCTCACATCTTCTCTCAACATGGCCTACAGCTGCTGCTCTGGAAACTTCTCCTCCAGCTCCTTTAGGCACTGCCTGCCCTCTTCAGGTTCCTCCTGTGGCTCTTCCTACCCCAGCAACCTGGTCTACACCACTACCAGTTGCTCTCCCAGCCCCTGCCAGGTGGAATCTTCTCTGAACACCAGATGTCAGGAGACCTGCATTGAGCCCACCAGCTGCCAGAGGTCCTGCGTGGTGTCCAGTCCATGCCAGGTGGAATCCTCTGTGAACACCGGCTGTCAGGAGACCTGCATTGAGCCCACCAGCTGCCAGAGGTTCTGCGTGGGGTCCAAGCCCTGCCAGGTGTCCAAGCCCTGCCAGACAGCCTGCTACTACCCGAGGAGCTCCACACCTTGCAGTCCTTGCCAGGGAACATATGCTGGATCTCTGAGCTTTGGATCCAGCAGCTGCCGTTCCCTAGGCTATGGATCTAGAAGCTGCTACTCAGGAGGCTGTGGATCCAGTGGCTTCAGATCCCTGAATTACAGGGTCCATCACTTTCCTACCAGTTTTTACAGATCCTCTGTCTGTAGTCCACTCTATTTTCCTTCTAGGGGTTTCTATTCATCTTGTTACCAACCATTCTATACATCTGACTTCTGTTGATTATTCTGTTGACTTTCCAATGCCAATACTGAATGCTGATTCTGTAGTAAAATATTGTCTTTTCATTTTATCCTTAAGAAGTATTGATATTTTCTTGATCTTCTGCTGTCTTTCTTTTCTAATCCTAAAATTTTTCTCTGTCAAACTGAAGGCTAAGGAAAAATTTAACTACATTCCTGATAAAATTGATAATTTTTCACTTCTCCTAAAATTACGAAGTCAAATAATTTTATCTTAATAAAACCTTCTTCCTGTTGCATAAGTACATGTTTAATGTTATTATGTAAATCGAATGCATTATGGTTTGGATGACAAATAGTATTTAAGGGCTTGTCTTTTCTCCAGTTGGTTTCACAATGAAGTTATTACTTTGGAAATTTGTGGAACCTTTACAGGGTAGAATATAACTGGAAAAATGAGATTATTTTGGGGGAAGAGCTTGAGGTTTCTTGCCTTGTCCTGTTTCCTGTTCTGTGTATTTCCCTGGACCACCAAGATGTGAACAACCAGCCTCCCATGGCAGCTGCTGTGATGTTTTCCTAACTATGGTGAAATAGATCCTCTAAGCATGGGCCAAAATAGCTTTTCTTCATGGTGTTGCTCTCTTTTTTGGGTCAGACATTTGGTATAGGCATAAAAAAAATTATTCAATCCCTTAATTAACATTGATTGTGATTTCTTTGGCAAATTAGTTTTGGAAGGCTAAGAGGGCTGTCACACTAATGCCACTATTCTCTAAGTATGTTTCCTTCTTGCTGCAGATATTCCTGAGCAGTCTGAGTTTTTACATGAAGCTTTTCTCTAACTAAAGATGCGAAGAACTGACAATCCTAGTTAAATTAGTTTCTACAGCATGCATTTCAAAGGGCAGAATGTTTTAGATATTTGAAGAATGCAAGAAAAATATAAGTTTACATGGTAAGGTCAATGCATGAAGGACATTAACAGTAGAGATTAATATCTGTATGATAATTCTCAACTTTGTGAAGTTAGCATGCAGGAGTATCACTTTTTTAAAAAAAAATTAGTCCCCATAGCCCAATTAATATTTTCAATCTGTTAAAATTATTCCCGTTTATATACAGGAAGACAACAGATGTAAAAATAGCTAGGTTGAGCAGGTGTGAAGTTCTACCTGGGTTCTTGGCAATTATGCTAATTAAATCTAAGAGAAAACACTAGATCTTTAAATATTATCGAAAATGACTTAATGATCCCTTTAAAACACTTGAATAATATGGAATTATGCCATCCTCTTCTTTCTAGCTCAAATACTTAGAAAAAAGAAATAAAGATCACATGAAGTATAGCAAAAATATTAGCTTTATAATTAATATAAGGAATCAATATTCATATCAAACAACATTCACATGTTTTACTTAGCCTTGTTCTTTGAGATTGTTAAACATTCTCTGAAATTAGGCGTGGAGTGCGGAGTATTGGACACCTGTCAAATACTAATCTTATGTGTATTTCCCATCCATTTCATCATTTCCCTTCCTCTTTGCTGGTGCAGTAACTAAGTGTAAACTATGAAAGCAGTGGCAGGCAGAGTTCCCTGTATTCCATGCACTTATTCTGCAGTGGCAGAAACAGAAACAGAAGAAGTACATCAATGTTAAAAGATTACAGTTAGGGTTATTGTAGTGTTTTGCTTGGTTGTCCACTGATTTGATTCACCTAGGATTCTCTCTGATGTCCTTTATTCCACAACTGACACTTTCCTTCCACTATGACCTTCTCCCCTTCCTTCCTTCATGACTATTTTTGGCAAATTGGTTATGGTGTCTTTATAGTTCCAGGGGAAATTTAGGTAAGATTGGGGGAAAGAATTTACCACTATTATCATGCAAGTTGTGATGGGAAATAGTTTTCTCAGTCCTTTGCATAATGTCTCTAGGTTTTCATGATTTTGCCACTCTACATTTATAATCGTTACCTAAGAGAAATCGTCAGGTTCCCTTCCTCAAAGCACGGGCAGCCGTAAGATTTGGAGAAATGCTCTTGTGCTTCCTGGCCAGCCTGAGGTTAACCGGATATTGTCCCAAGATTTCAGACACAGGTGCGGCTTTCTGCATTTCAGAAGAATAGTATAGGGAGTCCATAATACACAATCTTTGAATTATGATCATTTTATTAAGAAAATATAAAAGGGATATGCATTCAGTAAAACTCCTGCTTTGAGTTTTTAAAATATTATTAGAATGTAGTCATTATAGAAACTTTTGCCTGTTTGTTTTGTTTACAACGAGTGTAGAAGACTGTTGTGCCAGTCAGGACACGTCAGCCATATCTTAGTATGTTATCGCTGCCACCACAAATTAGACCAAACTAGTACCAGCAATGTGATTATCTTTCAGTTCTGTAGGACTAAAGTAGCATACAGAACTTAGTCCCTTTCTATCCCAGCAATGAAATGAATGACAGCGAACTGCGGTCTGCTAATTTGTAAGTTAATTCCACCTTCTGCAGTTCACAGGAAGCCAGCTAGCAGTTTTCAGGATTGTAGCTGGTCGCTTCTACTCTTCCAGCATCCTGCTAATGCGCACGGACACACACACAGGCACGGCCAAAGGTTTTGAACACGGAGGCTGGCAAACAAAGCATTGGCTGCTCTCAGTTATAATCAACCGCCAAGGCTAACGGTTGTCTGTTAGCCGACTGGTTTTCTGTGCAGGTTTCCAAGAATTACTGCGACCAGTTTCCAGAAATCCTCTCATGAGTAATTTCCAGACATTGCTCTTCTACTCTTTCTACCTGTTGAGGTTAGGTTATCAGTGACTACCAACGCTCCTTTGTCGTCTTCCACCATCGTGCTAAACTATTTGCACTTTTTGCTAGGTATGCCTTTAAACTTCTTCCACTACCACACCCCACCACCACTACCATTATTATTATTATACAAATTAGCATCACTACTCTGAATTTCACTCCTGATACTTCTCAGAGTCACCATGGTGTCCCTGAACCTACAGTCGATGTACAAATGACGTAAAAATGTTGCATATAAGTTACCCTCTATCTGTATATATAACGCAAATAGGAACATAATTAAATTTCATGCTTTAACTGGGAATTTCCCAAGATATTCTTATATTGTATGTGTAAATACTTTGAAATCTGAGAATTTTTGAAATCTAAAATGCTTCTAATTCCAAAAAAAAAAAACATTTGATAAGGTACAATCAAGACACATCCTCATTTTCACCTCAGCATGGGAACTTTACCATTATATGGGATCTCTTTTATACAAGAGATTTAGACATATTTCTGTAAATGACAGCCACTCCTCTCTCTATGAAATGAAGAATAGTGTTAGGAAAATGTGGCATCTTTTTGCTAATCAGACAAAGACTCTACTAGAAAAATCAAGTACCAAGCAAATAGTTATTCATAGCAAATGTCCGTGAGTTAAGTCACTGGTGCTGAAAGAGATTACAGAAAATGAAACTCTGAAGTCTTAAAGGTCACATTCAGGAAAAAAAAAAAAAAACACCCCATAGATGTAACAGAACAAATCTGGTTTTAAGGAGCAAGATTTGACAATATTGAAAATTGTATGCCTTTGTCTGTCAAGGTACAGGACCTCACCTAGGACCTTCATTCCCTTGTGCTTCTACCTCAATGCCCCCTGCCCTCACAGTCAACTACTATGCAGTCTTTTTTGTGCATGGGAGGCTCCTTGAAGGGGAGTCCATGTGGTATATTTGTGGGTATGTGCGCAGGTGCATCTGCAGGCCAGAATTCAACATTGGATATTGAACCCTATCTCTCTCCACTTTATTAAAAAAAAAAAAAAAAACAGACTCACTGAATTTGAAGATCTCTATTTTGATTAAAATGACTTTGAAGATAGACAGTACCTCATGAGGTTGTTTCTTTTTGTTTATTCTGAAATAATATCTCACCAAGTAGCCCATAATTGCTTTAAATTCAATACATAAAAATGGTCTGGAACTCATGATCTTCCTGCCTCAATCTCTCTGTGTCATAATGATACGCAGGCACCATGAAGGTCAACTGAAATGTTCTTCTATGCTGAGAATGGCTCATCACAGGCTTTATATTCTTTAAAAATATAATTATTTACTTAAGTAATACTAATGCTGCTAAATGGTATGTTCAGAGAAACATCAGGTACATTTTAAAATGTTTTAATTTTGCCATTTTATACTAATACGTGAATGAACATATTTTCTTGGAAAATAGTAAAACATTTGCTCATATGCATTCTCAAGAGCAGCATTAGATGAATGTTGTTGGGAATACTGACTGGCACTGATAAGAAATTTGACAATGTGTTACTGAAGCATGACTAATGCAAAATATGGGAGTTCAGTTCAGGGGGAGTAAAGCTGTTATCTGTAATCTCTAATGTGACAAGAATGCACAAATAGAAATTGTGAAATCCCTTGAATAGAAATGAATCAGGCCGTTTCCCGGAACATGTAGTACATGCATTGTTCCCTAGAAGTGGCTGCGGGTTTCCCAGGAACAAGAGGATTAGCCATTCCTGGAATCACTGCTGCCTGGGTAATAGCAGTTAAAGACCTAAACCACTGGGTTTGAGAGTCACAGAACTAGTAAGAGTGATAAATGCTAGAAAAGATGGGAGAAAGTTGGAGGCCTGGTAGAGAGAGGACCTATTGGAGGTGGAGTGTCTGGTTGCAGCAAGGCTGCATTTTTCTAAATCTGAGCACCCAGATTCATAATTTATAAAGAGAAACATATCTTCATCCTGGTGAAGTTAAAGTAATGCTAAACCTTGAGATCTAAGAGCTAAGAGTACATCTCAATAGTGTAGAGGTATCTGATCATATATATAACCCTGGATTTCATCTGTAGAATAAAATATAGACTATAATGAAGTTTAAATCATTGGAACAAGGCTAGGGTTAGCTATTTCTCAAGAGATCTTTGTGTGAAAATAGAATTTCATGTATCATAAGATGATGATTTCATTACAAATTGCATATGGTAGTATGGCATTTAACTGCAGT